GCATGGGGTCGCTATGAGTCGGTTCCGACTCGATGGCACCTGACAACAACAACAAGTTGGTTATTATTGGTTCCGACCCTGTATAGGTTTCCAAGAAGCAGCTGGTAAGTTTGAACCACCAGCCTTGGGGTTAACAGTCCAGTGCTTATCATACAGTACCATACCAGGGCTCCCTGAGCATTGGGAAACCAAACAAATCCACATGACTTGCTTTGTGGAAGTACTTGCTTTACTGCAGTGGTCTGGAACCGAACCCACCATAGCTCCGAGGTCTGCCTGCCTATAGAACTGCACCCTGTGGTCTTTTATCCCCGCTGCTTTCCTTTTTCATGACATTCTGTAGTTCATTGGTTCAGCAGATACTCAGCAGCAACTGCTTTGAAACGGTCATGCGCATCACACCTGTAATGGCATCACCGAGAAATGGCATGTGGGGTATTTTGTCACTGAGGGCCGAGATGCCATCTGCTGCACTCATCCTCATATTCCCAGTGCCTCACATCAGTGTGGGAATCCTGGTGTGGTGCTGTAGGACAAACACTACACTGCTAACCACCAGGTCAGTGGTTCAAACCCACCAATCGCTCCTCAGAAACCCTATACAGGGTTGCTGTGAGTCAGAACCGACTCAACGGCACTTTAACAATAACAACAACAAGCTCGAGTGTGAAATGCTTGAGTAAGGGTCCCTCTCTGGTGGGGGCCATGTCTCCCTGGGCCCAGAATGCTCCCATCCCCTGATGTGCTGGCTCCGGCGGGGCGCCTCAGTGCCTGCTGATTGGGGGTAGGGTCTGCTTCTTGGGTGCGGGGCTGGGTGCCGGCAGGGGCTGGCCTGGGACCTGGGCTGACCATTGTCCTCTTTGCTCTCTTTGCAGGTAGGGTGTCATTGGCGCAGTTCGCCCTGGCCTTCGTGACGGATACATGTGTGGCGGGTGCACTGTTGTGCGGGGCGGGGCTGCTCTTCCATGGGATGCTGCTGTTGCGTGGCCAAACCACATGGGAGTGGGCTCGGGGCGAGCAGGCCTATGATCTGGGTCCTCGCCACAATCTGCAGGCGGCTCTTGGGTCTCGCTGGGTCATGGTCTGGCTCTGGCCCTTCCTGGCCTCCCCCTTGCCTGGGGACGGCATCTCCTTCCAGACCCAAGCTGACAGGGATCTTATGGCTTCCTGACCGCAGGAAGCTCTGAAACTGTACTGGGGGTCGGTTGGGGCAGGGAGTGGGTTGGCCTGTGGCTGTGGTATTACCTGTGGCTGCTCCAGAAATAATGCAAGCAGCAGCCCCATCCCCTTCCTTGACTGTGGCCGTGTCCCTGCCCAGCTTGGATTCCTACCTGTCCAGGGCTGGGATTTTGCCTCTGCCTCTGTTGGTAGCTCCAGGTGCTCTGGAGGATCTGGGGAAAGCTCTGCTGCCCCTTCACCAGGCGAATAAAGCGCCCACTTAATTCTTGCCCTTCCTCTGTCATGGCTCCATTCCTGGCCCCTTCTTTTGTTGCCTGAGTTGCTTGTTTCTACTTTTTCTAATTGTTAGACTTGCAAACCAGGAAATGGCTCAGGGCTCTGCTCCTCTGATCGTGGTACAGCTAAGGGGACGAATGGGGTGCCCCTGCACGTCCAGGCAGCACTGTGTGAGCTGAGGTGTCAGAACACAGACCTTCCCCAGCTTCAGGTTCTAGAGCTAGAAGGAGGTCTGCAACAGTAATGTCATCAATCCTCTCTCTAGATGCATTGATTGGGCAGCATTCACGATCCTTATTTTGTGGGTGAAAAAATGTAAAACTCTGTGAGAGTTGATGGGATAAAATCATGGGGTAGGAAATGGATAAGTTGGGATTTGAACCCAGGTCTTTGTGCTTTCTCCTTCACCAAGGCACAGCAGAAGGAAGTGAGTAGGGCCCATGTGTGAGATGAGGCTGCGAAGATGAGTGTAACTGGGGCATCAGAGAGCCTTCTGGCTTTGAGCCAACAGGAACAACCTGTGGATTTGCCCAGAGACTACCCCTTGAGCGCCAGTGAAGATGATGAGGACAGCAATGGAGAGAGGAAGCATCGAAAGCTTCTGGAAGCCATCAGTTCCCTTGACGGAAAAAATAGGTGGAAGCTGGCAGAGAGATCAGAGGCTAATCAGAGCGTGTCAGAGTTCAACATCAGTTCTGAAGGCATAAGAGAAAAGCTGGCCCTTTCGGATCTGTTTCAGCCCATTAAAATGTCATCCTCCCTGGTCACTGTGAAAAAGCAACTTAAGAGAGTCAAAGCAAAGAAGACGGTGGCATTGCCCCTTAACAAAGAAGAGGTTGCACGGATCCACAGAGAAGTGGCGTTCAATAAAACCTCCCAAACTCTTTCCAAGTGGGATCCTATCGTTTTAAAGAACCAGAATGCAGAGCAGCTAGTTTTTCCCCTACAGAAGGAGCAGGCAGCCTTAGCTCCCCTTGAACATACACTCTGTGGTTGGAAGATAAGAACTCCCCTGGAGCAGGAGATTTTGAACATCCTCCACAAGTACAAGCAGCCAGTGACAGACCCTTTACTGACACCAGTGGAAAAGGCATCTCTCCAAGCCATGAGCCTGGAAGAGGCGAAGATGCGGCGAGCAGAGCTTCAGAGGGCCCGAGCCCTGCAATCCTATTATGAGGCTCAGGCTCGGAGACAGAAGAAAATCAAAAGCAAAAAGTATCACAGAGTTGTGAAGAAAGGAAAGGCTAAGAAAGCCCTCAAAGACTTGGAGACTCTGCGGAAGGTTAGTCCCACTGCAGCAGCATCGGAAGAACTGGAAAAAATGGAAAAGGCCAGAATGATGGAGCGAATGTGCCTGAAGCACCAGAACAATGGGAAAGGGACCAAGTCGAAGTCATTTAGGGCCAAATATGACCTCAAGTCTCGCCAGGCCATGCAGGAGCAATTGGCCAAGAACAGAGAACTGACGCAGAAACTCCAGGTGGCTTCTGAGAGTGATGACGAGGCGGGAGGTGTAGAGGAGGATGGACTTATGGTCCCTGATGTGAGCGCAGTTCTAATGGATACAAAGGGGTCAAATCCCTGGATGTGCAGAAGCTGCACCTGCCATTCAAGAGAGTCTGAAATCCAGAAGGATCCTGAACTACCTCCCGAACATGTCACCCTCAAGGATTCAGAAAGTGAAGAGGAAGAGAGTCCAGTAGCAGAAGAAAATACCTTGTTGAAAGAATTTGAGGAAAGACAATCCCTTAGGAAAAGGCCTGAACCAAGCACGTATGCTGAGCCCATGGTCTGTCAGGAGACACAAGCTTTCAGCAGCCAGGAGGTGCTATCTGAATTGAAGGCACTGTCTCGGCAACTCAGCAAGGAAGACCGTCAGTCCAGGAAGCAAAAAGTGAATTCCATTGAGGTTGCTCTCCGGTCCCAGGAGGAGGAGAAACCTCTCTTACTGCAAAGACCAGAGAGAATACAGACACTAGAAAAGCTGAGTAAAGAAGGCTGTTCCCCAAACATGGAGATTCCCAGACCTGTGTTACAAGGACAGCAGAGAGAGAGGAACCCAGATAATCAGCCTGAGGCCCCTAAAAAGAAAAGAAAGGAGCAAACAATCGATCTACAGAACCTCTTAACCACCAAATCTCCTTTTGGGAAGTCTTTGGCAGTTCCCACATTAGAGGAGTTGGAAGGTGAAGAAGAGAGAAACCAAAAGCAGATGATAAAGGAAGCGTTTGCTGGGGATGACGTCATCAGAGACTTCTTGAAAGAAAAGAGGGAAAGTGTGGAGGCAAGTAAGCCAAAGGGTGTGGAGCTGACACTGCCTGGCTGGGGAGAGTGGGGTGGGGGTGGCCTACAGCCTAGTGCCAAAAACCGACGCCGGTTTCTCATGAACGCTCCTGAGGGTCCTCCAAGAGAAGACAAGCATTTGCCAAATGTAATCATCAGTGAGAAGCGCAACATTCATGCTGCAGCTCATCAGGTGCACGTGCTTCCATACCCATTCTCCCACCATCAGCAACTGGAAAGGACCATCCAGGTCCCTGTAGGATGTACGTGGAACACCCAGAGGGCCTTCCAAAAGCTGACTACTCCCAAGGTTGTCACTAAGCCAGGCCATGTCATTGAGCCCATAAAAGCCGAGGATGTAGGCTATCTGTCTTCCCCAAGGTCAGACCTCTCTGTGATGCAGAGGATTCCAAAAGGACTCTCCGTCTGGCACAGAAAACAGCTGAAGGACAACTCGGCAGGTTGAGCTGCCGGAGGTGCCATGTTGATGCCCTGCTGACTTCCTTTTCACTGGGCTTGTTGGTACCCTCTTAAACACAGTCACGTCCCAACTGACTTGTCACATTGTACACATAGCTAAAGTGCACATTAGAAAGAACAGCTTTTGTTAGACTTGGTTTTTGAATCTAAAATGAAAAAGGAGTAGGAGAAAATCAAGGCAAAGATGTTGAGGATGTCTAAGCATCTGTAAACAGTGGTACTCCTCTCTGTGGACTCTTTGGGAGCTACTTGTTACATACTTGTATTTTAGTAATTTTATAGTCAATAGATTCCAGTGGTAGGTTTAAATGCTTCGGTTTATATCTTTTCCCTCTTAAAATCTCAAAAACAAAAACAAAACGAAACATCCATTTATAAGAAGAAGGAGAGAGAAAATAGGAGGGAAGAAAACAGGTAAAAGAGCCAGACAATGTTTTAAAAGATGGAAAGTGGGTGGAGGCCTGTTAATCTCTTAGCAGATCATTAGAAGTGGAACCACAGTGTTCCCAGAGGGAGAGGCCACGAGGCAGGCCACATTATCCCCAGAGCCCTGGAGAGGCTCAGAATCCACTGGCACTGGGGAAGGTGAGGTGAGGCAAAAGGATGGGAACAGATCAGAAATTCTGTGAGGAGCAGCCCCTCTCCCTAGAGTCCCACCTCATAACTTGTAGCCAATAGCTCCCCCTGAGAGAGTGGGTTACTCAGGAGGAACCAAATCAGAGAACTGTCAGCATGGGGGAGACAGTGGGAGAGTGGAGGTGAGGAGCTGGACCAGAAATGAGGATAAGTGATATGGTTGCTGGAGGATCCCCCAGGGAAATGGCATGTATGCTTTCCCAAAGACCCCCAGAGAAGGCCATCTTTCTGACAGGTCCTACCCATACCCACAGAGGTTCCAGCTGCTTTTTTTTTTTTTTCTCCCCCAAATGGCATCATCTATTACTAATTTCTTTAAACTTTTGTTTTTGATTAAATGATGCCAGAAAATTTTACATAGGAAAGAGAAACATCTTTGGAAGTCCCTGGTGAGCCTTTTGGTCTTAATCATTCCCTTCACAGTTTTATTGCATATGCTGGTATTGGGTTTTGCATGTTTCTGGATTTTATATAAATAGAATCATACTTTGTTAATTGTGTAACTTGCCTTTTCACTTGTTTCTGAGATTTATTCAAATTAATGCATGTAGCTATATAGTGTCACATTGAATAGATAAGTATTTATTTATTTAGTTCCAGTATTTTCATCTACCTGTGTAACATCCACCAAGATCTACACTTGTTCACTGTTTTTCCACATAAATTGTAGAACCAGCTTGCCAGGTTTTATCCTTTGTTATGTAAATGGAACTAGTTTGAATCCATTTATCAGTTTAGAGACAGTTGACAGTTGCATGAAAAAACCTTTTCCAGTTCATGAACATGGTATATAATTCTCCATTTAATGCTTTTCAATAAAGCTTGTTTTTCTTTCATAAGGATCATGACTTTGTTCATTTATTCATAAGTACTGGATATTTTTATGCTTATGAAAATAGAATTTGTGTCTAAAAATTTGGTTTAAAATTTTACTTGTAGGTTCTTCTGATATATTTTGATTTTACTCTGAAAAGATAGTTTTGTTCTTTTTCTTAATGTTTGTTGCCCTTTTACTATGGTGAGACCATATTGAAAGTATGTGGAATAATGATAACAGACATCTTGATAAGAGGCATCTATAAAAATTCCCATAGGTTTTTATACATGCCTCTTACTAGGCTGAAAAAATTCTATTCCAAATAGTCACAGAGTTCTTGTCTTATTTTCTGTTTTTATCTTTTAAGAATAGACTACAGGTGGATTTTTATAATTTCACTCTTTTTTTTGTGTTGTATAAAACAGTTTCTCTGCTATTCATAAGGTTTTCAGTGACTAAATATTCGGAAGTAGTTCGTCACTCCTTCCTAGTCTGTCTTCGCCTGGAAGCTCAGCTGAAACCTGTTCACCGTGGGTGACCCTGTTGGTATTTAAAATACCAGTGGCATAGCTTCCAGAATCACATCAACTCACAAGCCACCACAGTGCGAGTTCAGGCTGAAGTGAAAGAAAGTTACAAGTCCAGGAGAGCCAAAATAAGACTTTGAACATATCCTACCTGAATTTAGCAACCATCTCAAGAACAGATTTGATGCATTAGAGACTAATGACCAAAGACTAGAAGAGTTGTGGAATGATATCTAGAGCATATAGGGTAAAAGCAAAAGGTAATTTAAAAAGTAGAAAGGAAATAAAAGGCAAAAATGGATGTCAGAAGAGACTCTGAAGTTTGTTCTCCAGTGTATTTTTAAGAGCTGTTGAGTCAGTTCCATTTCATAGTGATCCTGCGCACAACAGAATGAAACACTGCCCGGTCCTGTGCCATCCTCACAATTGTTATGCTTGAGCCCATTGCTGCTGCCACTGTGCCAATCCATCTCATTGAGGTTCTTCCTCTCTTTTGCTTGACTCTCCACTTCACCAAGCATGATGTCTTTCTCCAGGGACTGTTTCCTCCTGATAACATGTCTGAAGTATGAAAGACGAAGTTTTGTCATCCTGATTTTGAAGGAGCATTCTAGCTATACTTCTTTTTTGTTTGTTTTTATTGGTGAATTATATGATAGTTTACATGAGAGAACTTTAGTTTTACATTCGTTCCATCGTATATCGTTTCATTGCCATGGTTCCGATCCCCTCCATGCATCATCAACTGATCAAAGGGTATACCCTACAAACCCGCCCCCTGCACTACCAAACCCCCCAAGTCTTCAGCACACAGTCCCTCTCCCTCTCTGGATCCAAAGTCCCCAGCCACTTCATCACTCCACTTCATCATCTCTGCCTCTATCTCAGGCATCGCTGCTTCTCGGGGTAGGGTTCCGCTCTGGGCTCTTCTCCGTTGATGGTCCTAGAGACCTCCGCTCCTAGACTGGAAAATTAATCACTCCCTTCCTTGCTACAAAATGTCTACCTTTACATTTCCAACCCTCACAGTCAGTCCTGATAACAATTATTCACTATAGTATCACAAGTGACCCATCTGCATTTCATTTCATCAACTCCGCCTAGACAGACTGGATAGTACTCACTGGAGATTCTGCCTTCCTCCATGCCCCCTAGCTGTAGGTTCCCTCTTGAAAGCTTGTAAGCCAGTCACTTCTTGCCTTTGTAGTCCCCCCTCCCCCCCAATTTGAGTATCCAATGTCCAAGTTGCCCATCTCTGTCTACTCTGTGTGTGGAAGGGGTGGGAATGTTTCTTGCTGTAAGGATTTGTTCCCTCTTTTGAGTCACTGCATCCATGGGTGTAGGTCAAGTTCATCAAATTGTATCAGATCACTCTTTTTATCTCTTCTTTCTTCTCCTGGTTGAGCTCTGATCATCCAGTCATCCGGGCCAGGTCATGTGGGTACCATCTGCAAGTGTGGGCGTTCTTGTGCACCTGCCCTCTCTTCCCATTAGCCGGTAGCTCCACTCTCCACTCGAGTCCTCTGTGGCCACGCCACTGAGTCTGGGCCCAAGATTCCCCAGGTCTCCTCACACTGCTGGCCAACCAGATCCCCATCTGAGTCCACAGAAGCCCACCGAGCATTGTAGGGCTTAGCTTGCCGCTTCATTGCTGCTTTTACCCCACTTCCCCCTATCGGTGATGCATGTGGTCACCAATCAGAGCATGTATTTCCATTGAGTCTTAGTCTTGGAGGGGGGTTTGCATTGAGGGGACCCGACCACTTGCCTTGATGTTTCCTGGGGAAGCGATTTGTTTGTTCTTGTAGTGACAGTCCATCTGCCTCTATTGTTTTGTATTTTTCCTGTAGGTCTTTCTTTCAAGATGTATCTTCTGTTCTTCTAGCCGCTTCAGGCTGGTCTGCTTGTCCTTTCAAGTGGAAATTTCTCACCTCAGAAGATTCTGGATGTGGTTCAGGTTTCTACCTATAGTCTTGTGTATTGCAAAGGCTCCGCAGGAAGCCTCCTCCACTGGGTACGCTGTAGCCCCATTTTAGGTATTCCAATCAGTTATAGGCAGAAGACGGACTTACAAGCCTTCTATGGTGGTGTTTCTGACTATTCCTTTCTCTCCCCCTCCAGTGTCTACTCTATATTCTAATGCAAGGAAAACCAAGATTCAAAAAACAGCCAAGCATCTTAACACCATTTCCCCCCTCCCCCATTCCAACCATGACTCATTCCCTGTACTCCAGAGCCCTGCAGTTCCAAGGCTGTGCATATATCATCCTTTATCTCTGTCCCACTTCTAGCTATACTTCTTACAAGTAAGACTTGTTTGTTCTGGCAGTTCCTGGTACTTTTAATATTCTTGTCCAACCATAACAAATGCATCAGTTCTACAGTCTTCCTTATTCACTGACTTTTACATATGTATGAAGCTCTCCAGCATAGAGCTGCTAAAGCAAATGGAAGAGCTGAACAGAAAATTTCAAAGGGCAGCTCGAGAAGACAAAGTCAAGTATTAAAATGAAATGTGCAATGACCTAGAGCTAGAAAACCAAAAGGGAAGAACACAGTATTTCTCAAGTTGAAAGAACTGAAGGAAAAAATTCAAGTCTTAACTTGCAACACTGAAGGACTCTATGGGTGAAAAATTGGATGATGCAGTAAGCATCAAAAGAAGATGGAAGGGATACAATAGTGAATAATTGTTATCAGGACTGATTGTGAGGGTTGGAAATGTAAAGGTAGACGTTTTGTAGCAAGGAGGGGAGTGATTAACTTTGCAGTCTAGAAGCGGCGATCCCTGGGACCATCAAGGGAGAAGAGTGGAGAGTGAGACCCTACCCAGAGAAGCAGTGACGCCAGAGATGAGGAAGAGAGGATGACATGGAGAGATGGAGCGGGTAGAGACTTTAGACCCAGAGACAGAGAGGGGCTGTGTGCTAATCACCAGGGGGCAAGCTTGCAGGGTATATATACCCTTTGGTTGGTTGATGATGCATGGAGGGGATTGTAACCATG